GTGATTCGATTCACAGAGCAAATTTCAGACATGTGATAGGGGCCAGTTAAAATCTTTTCTCTGATGAGGTCTTATTTTAAAGATGATTTCATGCACCCTGTGTGGGCAGGTTTCCTGAAGACATTCTGGTCTCCTGGACTCTGGAAAGCCATTGGTGTGACTGGGTTTCAGAGGGGGCTGTGCAAAGTAGCCGGATGGCCTTTGGAAGCAGCTGAGAAGAAAGGTGTCCTGAGTGGCCAGGTTGTTCAGCCTAGCTCAGGTCATAGGATCTGAGATCATGCATGCGTGAGTGTCGGGCAAGAAATGGGAAGCTGAGCTGACCAGAGGTGGGCAGGCCTTGGGGCACCGGCAGTCCCTTCCTTGGGTTTCTGTTGGCTCTTTACTGTGTTTCTGCCCTCCCTGAACAGAGCAGCCTGGCCCACGCCATTCTGTGAGATGCCCCAGACCCTGGTGCCCTCCACCTGACCTCTGGCCTCATATGTGTGAGCACACACATGATGGCATCCACAGATAGACAAAGGCTTTGGTAGACTTATGATTGGCCATCACATCAGAAGCCAGGGGCCCTTCTTGCCAAATCCTCCCTCCTGAGGCCAAATACCCAAAACAAATGGGCTGGAGTGGTGAGCAGTTCACACAGGAAGTCATCATTAGTAGAAAAGTGAGGTGTTATACTAGGCTCACTAATTATTCAAGAAATACAAATTAATCTGCATCTATTGAGGGAGCCCTAATGAGGAAATGAGAGGCTGCAGGTGCTCAGACTCCCTGGTGTGGATTCTACCCCTTTTGGGAAAGCCGGTTGGCAAGTGGTTTTGAGAGGTTTTTTTTTTTTCACTAGGAAGAATCCCAAGGGAGACATACAGAGGAGGAGAGGACCATGGATGTGCTAGGCTATTCCTGAAACCAGGAGGCTGCATATGGGCCTTTGCCTGCAGACCTGACCCAGAGTGGCTCAGAGGCTCCCTCCCCATGTAGGACGGAGCAGTGTGTGGGTTGTGGTGATGAGCACATGTATTTTTATAGACAGGTGGTCTGTTGGGGTGGTGGCAACAGTCAACTCCCACAGGGGCTAGAGTTGATAGAAGGCAGGTTGTGTTCTCCTCCTGGCATCTTCGCTCTGGTCCTCTCTTCCCTTTCCAGGCTTTGGTGCCATCTGATCATCTCTCAGTGCTGGGACCTCTGCTCTCCACCCTGGGAGGCCCCACTCAGGTGCTGCCCTCACCATAGGCATGCCTGTCTGTCTTCCAGCTGATACCCACCTCCTTTCCCTGAGGACCCGTGCTAGGCTTTGCAGGCCTGTAGCCTGGGTGGGAGCTTCCCCTTGGCCACATCTGAGCCTTGGAGTCTCTGCTGCCCACCAGCCCTCTCATCAAGGTGGGAGGCCTGCTGCTCCTGAGTGGGTGAGTAGGTTGGAAAGGCAAGTTCAGGGGCCTTCTCTCTGGGGTTGGCCACTGCCTACCAACAGGCTGGCTGCGGTGACACTGCCTACTGGGTCTGAGGTCAGAGGCCTGGCCTGGTTTTGCATAGACCCTAGGACTCCTGCCTGTCAGGTGTGGTGAGCGTCAGGGCTCAGGGCCAGACTCCTTTGTTGCATTTCTCAGGGTCTACTGACTGAATATATCCAGAATGCCCTGGTGCTTCCCATACAGTGCTCAGTGCCCTCGTCATCATTGTCCAAGAAGGGGCAGAGCCAGAGGGATGAGCCCCTAGGGCAGTCCCAAACTTCCATGCAGCCAGGGAAGAAGGAAGGAGGCAGAGGATAGCATTTTCCACAGGGCCAAGGGCTTCTCTGCACACTGCCCCAGTGATGGCAGGGCCTGCAGGCCTAATCCATCCTAGCTCCTGTGCAGTTTCCAAGAAGGATCTCAGCCGTAAGGTGTATGTGGCTCCAGCTCTCTGCCAGCCTCAGGGTACCCAGGTGTTCTGCTTCCCCTCCTGTCTGGCAGTGGGACAGTGTCTGCCCAAGGACAAGGACACTCTGTGCTGCCGGGCTTGCTCTGCGGAGTCTGCTGGTTCAGGAGTATGTGGGGACCCAGAGCTCTAAATATACCAGGGTGAGGTCACGAGTGGAGACAAGCCATATGGCAAGCCTGGGACCCTGTTGGGGCCAGATTCCCAGGGCTGGGGACAGGGAGTGTGAGTGGCCTTGCCGTCCCTGTGGGACTGGCCTCCTCACTGCAGTCTCCTCTTGCATTGCATCCCTGTCCTCAGCACATTAGAGATATGTAGGGAGTTGATTGTGTCTCCTCTCAGATCCTCTCCCTTGGTGCAGCTTGGAGTAGTTTTTTCAGGCCATCTGGATATGTTCACAGCAACGGCCCTGAATGAAAACATGGCGAGGTGAGGCCTTTGTTACCAGGGTGCTGGATGGCCCCCTGGAAGAGGGGTAGCTTTACAAGAGCTCTGTTAGGCACAGTGAGGCCACTGTCATTGCTCTGTGGTCACTGCAGTTTACACTCAGGCTGCCTTCAGCTGGAAATAGGGCAGATAAGAGAAGCCAGGAATACACGTGGCCAGCAGAATGGCCCCCGAGGATGTCCACATCATAGTCCTCAGAACGTAGGCATGTGGTACCTTACATGACAGAAGGGACTTTGCAGATATGACTGAGGAAACAGACCTGGATTATCTGGGTGGGCCCAGCCTGATGGAATCTTTAGAAACAGATACCCTTTCCTGGCTGGTCAGAGATGTGAGGGTTCTGCCCCATTGCTGTTTTTGAAGATTGGAGGAGGGAGCAGGTAAGCCAAGCAATCCCAGAGGCTGGGAATGGCCTTCACATGACAGCCACCAAGAGAACAGGGACCTGTCCTGCAGCAATGAGGAACTGAATTCTACCAACACCTGAAAGAGCAGGAAATGGGCCCATGAGAGCCCCCCAAAAGGATGGCAGCTTGCTGACACCTGGATCACAGCCCAGAGAGACCTGAGCATACGATACACCTTACTTCTGAATCCTGAGATGATGCATGTGTTTCATTTAAGCCACTCAGCCTGTGGTCATGTGTGATCATTTTGGCAAGAACAGGAAACTGGTACACTACTATGCAAGTATGGATGTGGGAAATAGGCTTCCCTACCTTCAGTTGGGAGCAGCCTCCCTCACGGCTAATTAGTCGTTCATGGTTTTGGAGCCAACAGCCCCTCTGGCTGTTAGCCCAAAGTCAGGTCTGGTAGAGGTGGTGATTGCAGCCATGTCTGTAACAGCCAAATGGAAACACCTCTAAGTGTCCCCCAACATGCCCTGCTCGCTGGGGTTTCCCTCCACTGGAAAGCTGAGCAAAAGAGGGCGGGGGTCTGTGCTGCTGGATGTTTTAGATTAGTAGTCTCCAACCTTTTTGGCACCAGGGACTGGTGCTATGAGAATCTGCCTGATGATCTGAGGTGGAACAGAGGCGGTGATGCTAGCGCTGGGGAGCGGCTGCAAATACAGATGAAGCTTCACTTGGCTCGCCCACTGTTCACCTCCTCCTGTGCGGCTTGGCTCCTAAGAGGCCAAGGACAGTACTGGTCTCCTGGCCCAGGGATTGGGAACCTGTTTTAGATGTTAGAAAGAGAGCAGCATATAGACCGTGTTTTGTTTTGTTAATGTGTGGTAAGAGTATACACAGGCTTGTATATGCAAGGAATATTTCTGGAAAAGCTATAAGGAGACACTGCAGTGGCTGGGTGGGAGGTGTCCTTTTCCTTGCTATATTGTGTCTCCGTTATCTGCTGGAGGGAGAGGGAGGAGAGAGAGACAGAGACAGAGAATGTGCTCACTGTGTGATCTTAGATGGGGAGAGGGAGCTTCCTTGGGCTTGGGCTCCCCCTTCCAGCCTGCAGATGCTAGGGTTATAGATAAATCCTCTGGGGCTCCTAAGGAATCTTTGTCTACCTCAAAGTGGCAAAGGTCTTCTCCTGTTTCTTCTAGAAGCCTGAGAATTTTCGCTCTCACGTTTAGGTCTGTGGTTCATTTTGAATTAATTTTGAGTATGCTATGGTGCTTGGTGTAAGTGGAATCGACCATATGTATTTTCTGTAATGCTTCACTCCCCGTGGTTTGAGCTCCATCTTGTTGCACGGAAGCTGCAGCTTGTTCATTTCTATGGCTCTTGAATTTCTCATTCTGTTCCTTCAGTTCTTAGAGGACAGTGGTATTATCATAACATTTGACCACATGACCTGCACCTTTCTGTGCCATCTCCTATCTATAAAATGTGATGATAATAGTACCTACCCTGGGTTGTTGTGATAACTAAACAAGGTGGTGACATGTGGAAACATAATTAGGACAGGGCCTGGCTCTCAGCAAGTATAAAGGGATGTAATTGCTTGGTCGTGAGATGCCCACATTTGTCTGTACCAGACAAAGCCCACTGCTCCCCAGTCAGCTGTGCCCAGAACACTATAGTGTTGTCAGGTATCTTTTCTGCCAGGCATGTGCAGTGCATCCACTTGAGGGTTCATTCTGCCTTTCCTGATTACTAGGAGACTTAAGCACTGGTGCCACAACCTCTTGTTTTTTGATCAGGATCTCTATGTTCCAGCTGTGGATCCTCAGGGCCCTATGGCATCTGTCTTCTGCCACTTAATGACTTTTTGCTCTCTTTATGGTATCTTTGGATGAACTTTAAAGGTCTCGTTAATGTAACCAAATCGATTGGGTTATTATGTATCAATCTTTTAAGCTTGATGCATTTTATTTAATAAATGTGTCAGCCTCTCACCCCATCAGATGGCAGAGTAGAGTGTGTCTCCTGTCTCCCAGGTCAAGAGCAGATCTTGTTTTATAACTGTCATGAGTTTCAATTGTGTGACAGCCACATGGGCTGGTGGTGTGTACACAGATAGGAGGGTGAGCACTAGGTGCCATGTTGGCCCCAGGAGCACATAGGAGGCTGTGTGGGGTGGGGGCTTTGGTGTTGCCGGCTCCACTGGCCCTTGGTGAGGGAGAGGCAGAGCAGGCTAGGATAGGGAGAAGGGCAGGGGCATGATGAGCAGTTCTTGTCTTGCAGATCCGGAACATGGTGGCAGTGCTGGAAGTCATCTCCAGCCTGGAGAAATACCCCATTACCAAAGAGGCACTGGAGGTGAGTGTCCCCAGCCCACAGCACATGCTTGAGAGTGCTGTCTTCCCATGGGCACTGTAGGAACTGGGGGCGAAGAGGGGGGTTCAGTCTCAGAGCTGGGGCTTCTTCCTCCTCAGGATGCCCTGCACCCTCAGGGGGTGATGGTGATATGCCCAGGGGAGGTTGCAGTGTGTGACGCTGGCACTGGGCCCTTCATCTGCTTTTGCCTTTGCTACAATGTGCTCTTACTCAGAAAGCTTCCCTGGCACACGATCCTTGCAGTGGCCCTGGTGCTAGCAGCCTGAAAGACGGCACTCTTGAGTGTGCTGCCTCTGGCCCAGGGACCCTAGGGTCTGAGGACTAAATTTGAGAATTTAAATGTCAAAAAGGACCCAAAATCCCTGTAGGTTTTGTTTGGGAAGTCAGTTTTTTAGGGGTCATGGGGGACTCCCTGTCTCGACAGTGTGTTATGGTCTCTCTCTGGTTATAGGAAACTCGACTCGGGAAGCTCATCAACGACGTCCGCAAGAAGACCAAGAACGAGGAGCTCGCCAAGCGGGCCAAGAAGCTGCTGCGGAGCTGGCAGAAGCTCATCGAGCCTGTGCACCAGAATGAGGCAACGCTGCGGGGGCTGGCAGGTGCCCCTGGCTCTGCCAATGGGGGTGCTCATAACTGCCGGCCGGAGGCGGGGATGGCCAGCGTGCCCAAGAGCATCCATGACCTAAAGAACCGCAACGACATCCAGAGGCTACCTGGGCAGCGGCTAGACAGGCTGGGCAGCCGCAAGCGCCGTGGAGACCAGCGTGATCTTGGCCACCCCGGGCCACCTCCCAAAGTCTCCAAAGCAAGCCATGATTCCCTGGTCCCCAACTCATCACCCCTCCCCACCAATGGGATTGGCGGGAGCCCTGAGAGCTTCCCAGGCCCCCTGGACAGCAGTGGGCATGTGGGTCCTGAGGGCAGCCGCCTGGAACACAGTGAGAATGACAAGCACAGTAGCAAGATCCCCATCAATGCCGTGAGGCCACACACCAGCTCCCCAGGCCTAGGCAAGCCCCCCGGGCCCTGCTTGCAGAGCAAGGCTGCAGTGCTGCAGCAGCTGGACAGGGCGGACGAGACCCCAGGGCCCCCCCATCCCAAGGGGCTACCTCGCTGTTCCTTCAGTCCCCGGAACTCACGGCACGAGGGCTCCTTTGCCCGGCAGCGGAGCCCATACACACCCAAGGGCTCTGTGCCCAGCCCCTCGCCACGGCCCCAGTCACTCGACACTACGCAGGTGCCATCACCGCTGCCGCTGGCCCAGCCATCCACGCCCCCTGTGCGGCGGCTTGAGCTGCTGCCCAGCGCAGAGAGCCCGGTGTGTTGGCTGGAGCAACCTGAGGGCCACCAACGGCTGGTGGGGCCAGGCTGTAAGGCAGGACCGCCCCAGGCCGAGCCTCTCCTTCCCCGAGCTGGCTTCTCCCCGGATTCCTCCAGAGCTGACAGTGACGCAGCTTCCTCCGGTGGCTCGGACAGCAAAAAGAAGAAGAGGTACCGGCCTCGTGACTACACAGTGAACTTGGATGGCCGGGTGACTGAGGCGGGTGTCAAGCCTGTCAGGTTAAAAGAGCGGAAGCTCACCTTTGACCCCATGACAAGACAGATCAAACCTCTGACTCAGAAAGAGCCAGTGCGGGCCAACAGCCCTATACACACAGAGCAGCCCAGGACAGAGCTGGACAAGCCTGAGGCCAAGGCCAACCTCCAGAGCCCCTTTGAGCAGACGAACTGGAAGGAGCTGTCACGCAATGAGATCATCCAGTCCTACCTGAGCCGGCAGAGCAGCCTGCTCTCATCGTCAGGAGCACAGACTCCAGGGGCCCACCACTTCATGTCTGAGTACCTGAAGCAGGAGGAGAGCACCCGGCGTGGGGCCAGGACGCCACACGTGCTACTGCCTCCAGGCCCGCCCACCGACCTTCCGGGGCTAAGCCGCCAGGTCACGCAGGACGATCTGGACAGAATCCAGGCCCACCAGTGGCCAGGGGTGAACGGGTGTCAGGACACACAGGGTAACTGGTATGACTGGACGCAGTGCATATCGCTCGACCCGCACGGCGACGACGGGCGGTTGAACATTCTGCCTTATGTCTGCTTGGACTGACCGGCCCCTCGGCCTCTAAGTGCATTCCTACCTTGCGTTAGCGGGAGGGTGGCTGGGGCCTGGAAGCCTCCAGTCATTGGGAGCCCGGCCAGGGCGGGAGGGAGGCGGCAGGACACTCGGTCTCTCCATGCTCTTCCCTCAAAATTCTCCTTCTTTTGTGAAATGCTGCTACCAGTTTACTAACAAAATTACAAAGGAAGGACCGCATGGAAGGAAGGCCGGCAAAATGAGTTCAGAACTCTATAGCAAACCAGCTATAAAAAGCATCAGTCCCCCACCCCAGAAGAGGTGTGGAAACTTCCCAGCACCCGTGAGCTGGGACCTCAGTTGTAGGCAGGCGCAGAAAACCTGTGGGAGAGGTGACCTTTAACACAGTGACAGAAGCACGCATCTCATCTACGTTTCTGTTTTTTGTTTTTTTTAATTTTGCCCTGAGTGTCTGAGGCAGTGGACAATGCCATGGCCTCTGTTTGCACCCCACCAGGCCAGTGTTTCTGTCATTGTGCCAGAAGCTTCTGGGCTATAGTGAGATGCTGGCATTGGGCAAGCTACCAGGCCAGCTAGTTTGACCTACACTCCATGGGCATCCACACATTAGTATTTGGTTTCAGTTCAAATCCAGTTTTTAAAGAAATGCTGCAAAAATTTAAGTTTCTAGAGTTTATTTTTCCCCCCTTCCATCTCACCACCAGCCAAATTTTCCTTTTTTTCTCTCTTTTCATTTTCCCATTCCTGCACATATCTAGAAAACTTCACCTTTCTAGAGTTCTGTCCCCAAAACACAAAGTTCCCACAGGTGCTACTGGTGTGTAAGCTGTACTGTTGGCAAGGAGACCTGTCTGTGCGCTGGAAACACTCATGACCATTCCTTTAGATTCGTTTGCCTTATGGTTATTGTCATAACGCGATTTGCAAAAACAAGGAGCCTTAGTGAATGTACAGTACCTAGACTTCTGTGTTCTCAGGATGCAGAAGGGAGCAACTTTGCTATTTGGTCCAGTAAGTGGACACCTTGTGATATAAATGTGGAAATAAAAAAAACCATTTGCACAAACCAGCCTGAGAATCGTTTCTCATTTGGTCCTTTACAGCCAAATCAGCCCTTCTTGGATTCTGGATGAGCCAAGAAGACCTGGGCCCCACAGCCAGACTGTAGGGAGGCAGGCAGAGTGACCAAGTCAGCCTGTTGGTGTTCTGCGTGGACACTGACCTCCACCTGCCTCTCATTCTTTCAGGGCCACGTGTTGCCTCTCCCACCTCCGGTGTTACCTGCTAGCTTTGGGTAACAGACCAAGCGTCGACATCAAAGGTTATCCTGTCTCCAGGCCTCACCTGCCCCAGAAAGAGAAGCCCTCCCCAAGCAAGCTCCATGGTCTTGATCTCAATGACCCTGTTTTACCTCCTAAAATAATTAGTTTTTACATGGCATGGCACAGAGCCCTATCTAGCAGTGTATCCCTTTGCCCTGGCCCTAGGCTGCCAGATTCCCATGCAGGCCTGGGGCTGATTTAAAAAAAAAAAACTCCCTTAGCTATAAAGTGATAATCTTTTCATTCGCCCCCCCTTGTTGCTGGAACCATAAGCTGACTTTGGTTCTAGTTTTTCGCAGGCCTGGGGCTGATTTAAAAAAAAAAAAAATCCCTTAGCTATAAAGTGATAATCTTTTCATTCGCCCCCCTTGTTGCTGGAACCATAAGCTGACTTTGGTTTTCTAGTTTTTCACTATGGAATAGGTCATTTTGGACACAGCTACTTAATTTCACAGATGAGAAAGCAGCTATTCCCCCCGCCCCACCCATAGGGCAAACTAAGGGATCCAGGAACATTCAGTTGACCCAGAACCAACAGGGAAATAACACAGACTTGGTGCAGGACACACCCACCCCAAGAAGAGGAGAGTGGGCGAAGTGGCTTTGAGGGTAGTCTGAGATTGAACTCCAGCCCTGTCACCTACCAGCTGTCTAGCTCTAGACTAAGCACTACTGTGTACATGTCTCCATTTGAGAGATGCAAGTGCTTACCACCAGAGACGTGAGGACTTAAAAGATCAAAGTTTTAAACCAGCACGTTGGAACCATCTGTGCTGTGGAGTAACTAGTTATTTCCTAACTCCACTGTGCCTGTTTTCTCATCCTTAATGTGGCCAGACCTAAGCTGCTGGTGTGAGTGTCAGGAAGTGACGTTACTCTGTGGCAAAGTGTGGTCGGCACAGCTGAGAGATAATAGGGTGCAGGTTGGTGTCCTATGAACGTCTCCTTTCCTCAGACCTGAGCTTTGGGACAGGTCTCTGCTCCCTGCCTCACCTGCCAGGACCACCTCTCCTTGAGTATACATTAAGTCCCAGGGTAGGTATTGCCTATCTTTAAGAATTTAAGGTTTCCCTCCAACAATTTGGAGATAAGTGGGTTGGCACTTTCTAATTTGGCAAGTGAGGACACAAAGAATTTTAAGACACGCCCCCCCCAACAACAAAAAATGTTAGTACATGACTTTTGGAGCAAATGAAAGTCCTATAAGTAGTAGATTATCTTGTTGAAAATACCGTCTTGTTTCTCTCCGCTGAGGACTGGGGCTGCTCCATCCGGTTGGGTCCTGGTGCATCAGCAGTCGGGCATGGCACCGCCCCCTCCCGCAGAGCCCTGTAGACAGTGCCCGAGGTCTGTCCGTGAGACGGAGAAGTTCATACCTACCGCACAGAGCACGTCGTGGCGGTTCTCAGGACGTGACCCCGAGGATCGGCCAGGAGAGCCCGCTCCAGGCTTGCAGAAAGGATTTAGCTTGTCACAATTCAGTCTTTCACACCCGGTGTCCGCCGCCTCCCGGCCATTAGAAATCTAGTTGAAGGCGCCGGTGTAGCGCGGACGTCGAGGCCTGATTCCCGAGTTCGATGACTGGCTCATACATGCCGGCGGAGCAGGGCCCTCGCGCTCCCGCCCATTCCGCTCCGGCTCCCGGTGCCGTGGCCAGACTATCACTGCTGCCGCACTCAGTTCTCGTCCCCCGTCTCCTTCCGCTTCCGGGATAGACCCCGCCCGCGCCAGAAGCCCTTCCGCGGGAGGTGGGGCCTCAGCTCGCTACGTGGTGGTGGGCGCGTCGGCCGGCGCGCGGCGGTGACGAGAGGGCGACGACCTATGAGGAGCGGCGTTGGCCGA